TATGGTTCTGGTTCCTTTACTCTTTCTTTTTCCTAGTATCAGACAGATAAAAACCACTGACCACAGTTACGTATCATCCTTTTTTGTATATGATATCGAAATATGCATGAAAATCACCTCGGTTGAGGATATAAAAAATACAAGACGATATGATCCAAGTCTTCCAGTAGGCTGTGGAGAGTAATATGACTCTCAGTAGTGACAAGTTCCAACTACTTAGATATGGAAAGAATGAAGAACATGTGAATGATCTGGGTGTAATAATGTCACCATTAGGAAGAGGCAGGGTGATGATAAAAAAAATTAGGTAATGAAAGACTTGATATCAGATTGGAGGGAGGGAGTATGGAGGAATGAATATTGCTGAATGTTTGGGAGTGGACTTGTCAGCAGATGGGTCTATGATAGACGAGGTGAATCATAGAATTGATGAAGGGAAAAGAAGGTGAGTGATCCACTGAAAAGTCTATGGAGACAAAGGACGTTATCCATGGATGTAAAAAGGGGAATGTATGAGAGTATAGTGGTACCAACACAAGAGGAGCATCGAACAAAACACAAGGAACATGTGAATGATCTGGATACAATCTGGGCACAGTATAAGAACATGGCATCGGCATAGTCCCAGACTCTTTAATGTCTTGTTGTGAGGGATATGTAGGTCAGCGGACCGCCAATAGCAACAGCCTAGTTGACTAGGTAAGTACCTGATAAAGTATATTATTCACCTAGCCAATTTCTGTGTTTGCCATACCATGATATCATAAAAAAAGCCAGCTCCTGCACGTGCCATACCTTGACATCATACACCCGTTAAACACAAAGATATATAAAATCCTGTGTGTTGTTGCAGTCTTCCATCATCTCTCTTGTGTATGAAGGATTTTTCACACGGAAAACATGCATGTCGCCAGATTCTAGGTTTCAAAGTACTTTTACTAGTTTCGATGGCGTGAGCAACACCCGAAACGATGCGTACCTGTGATATGAACCGTGAATTACAACCTACTGAGCACCGCTAGCATATTCTTGCACTGTCAGATGCCTTGTGTGATAGCTGACCGAAATTAAACCTTTCGACATGTTTCGACAAGTCTGTCGCACGTTGCACAGCTTCATCACACCCGATAGTTATTGAATGATAACACCGATGCTCACTGCAATTGGTAACTGCTGCTTTGTTATTATTTTCAATCAGTTATATATATATATATATATATATATATATATATATATATATATATATAAAATATATATATATATATATAATGTCGTGCCGAATAGGCAGAATTTGCGATCTTGGCTTAAATAGCAACGCTCATCTTGCCATATAGGACAAGTGAAAACTTGTGTATGCAATAATTTCACCAAAATCATTCTGAACCTAACGAAAAAAATATATTTCACTGTGTTTGTTTAGTGTTAAATTTCTGTAAACAAATCTAAAATATGTTTAGTTGGGTTAGGCTAAAATAAATTGTTCTTGTTATAATAAGGTTAGGTAAGTTTTCTAAGATTCTTTTGGTGCAAAATTAAATTTTTTTACATTAAAATTAATGAAAAAAATATATCTTTAAACGTATAAGAGAAAATTTTAGAAAGGACTTAATTTTAAATGAGTTCTTGCTAATTGACCAGTTATACATATTCGGCACGACATATATATAATATATATATATATATATATATATATATATATATATATATATATATATATATCATTACCTATTTCATAAATTTTGGATATTTCCTCATCTATGAACTCATTATGAAATAGGTAATGATTTAAAATACCCAAGAAATGTAACTGATAAATCTTTTAAAGTTGCTAGAAATACTTTTTACAATCCAGAAAGGGACAACCAGCCTTATTCAACTAAAAATATGTTGGTTCTCCCTTACCATGAAAACTTGGTTGATATGCCTTCTCTTCTTAAGACTTTTAATATTAAAGTTGTATTCAAAAATCTTGATACAGTAAAAAAAACTTTTGATAAAGAATTCCCCCCAAAATGCTGATGGATGTGTCTATAAGATTCCTTGTAAAAATTTGCGATAAAGTTTATTACGGTCAAACTGGTAAAAATTCGAACTAAGATTAAAACAACATAAATATAGCATTAGAACTGGACAAGATTCCAATGCTCTATTTATTCATGTAAGAGATTTTAACCATCCAATTGATTTTCAAAAAGTTGAGAAAGTAGTATCAAGCAAGTCCATGGTCGACAGGAATATAATTGAATCTTGTTTCATAAAAAGCAGTTTTGACAATAATATGAATATTTCCTTTGGTTTATATAAATTAGATCCATTTATAATTAATAGAATTTGGGAAGAATTTAATAATACACTGGACAAATAATAATTTTAAATTTTCTTGGGTAGAATAGTTTGTGGGTGAGTTGTGCAAAGGACCTATCCAAGTTGGGTCGGCGCGCGTCAGGTGTTTAAAAACCGTTGTGGGATCTGATAGTGAGGTGCTGGCCATGACCCCTTATATAGCTTCCTTGGATGCTTTACTTTCATAGTTCCTTGATAATGTGAGTAGTCACGAAAGCGCTTGGAATTTCTCTATTCTTCAGAGTGGTTGTTTTGCATATTCTGAAATCACCTGCTTACTGTGATCTTATTGCATATATATATTATATATATAATAGTATATATTATATATATATATATATATATATATATATTATATATATATATATATATATATATATATTATATATATATATATATTATATTATATATATATATAATATATATATATATATATATATATATATATATGTGTGTGTGTGTGTGTTAGTTACCATTTGTCTTAGGCACATGTCGATTCGACACTAGGCCTGTTGTATATGATTGCGTGTGTGTCTGTGTCTGTGTCTGTACAGACTCCAGGAGTATACACTTTTGTACGTACGTGTCTTTATGTACACTCGTCTACATGTCCCCTACTTTGTTTGCAGTCACGTCTACACACCTCACAACTCCACCAATGCCTTCAACACCTGACGAATTTACTCAACCGTGTTGCAAAACAAGTACCCTTTTAGCTTGCAGGTTGCGCGTAAACAAGGACACAAATTAAGTCCCATTACCTATACCCTGGAAATAGCTGTATATTTGTTTGTGTACGTTAGCACAGTCCTGGACTCCCAACTCCCCCTCGCCCACACACCAACTCTCTATGTAAATTGTGGACAATATTTACAGGTTGGTTTAACAAAGAGGTCGCTATTTACTACCGCGGATTATAGTTCTGTGTGGGCCTTCATTGTTTTTCTTTATATTGTACTGATTAGCGTTTAAACTAATGCAGCTGGTACTCTTACTTTTGGTGTTTTTGATACTTCTAATATTACTACTATTACTACTATGAGAACTTTTAAAACAAGAGACCCAACTCCAGTGATGGGTTTTCTCTCACGACTGAATATTGTTCTGTGCTTACACCTTTCAGCACCTCTGTACGTAGACAATGTACAGAGGTAGAATGGCAGCATAGTCAGTAGAACATCCAGGCCATCAGCAGAGGGTGGGTGATCCCTTGAAACCAGTCACAGGTACTACTACTAATACTACTATAACAACCACCATTAATACTACTACTACTGCTGCTACTAATTTTATTGTACTATTATGACTACTACTACTATTCTTATTACTACTATTACTATTGGTACTACTATTCAACTACTACTGTTACTATTACTACTGCTACTACTTCTAATGCTACTACTACTACACCAAGTCACTCCAGACCTACCATCTCGCCCTCTTCCTCCTCTTCCTCCTTCTCTTTAGTTCTGCAGATTAATGACAAATTCGACAACTGGCCTCAGCACTTGGGGTGAAAAATCAATGTTTTTTTCCCATTTGTTCTACTTTCAGCAGTTATTGTTTGAGGCTCATACGCTACAGTCAGCAGAAAACTAATGGAGTGAGTGCAGGAAAATATTCAGGTCAGGACAGATACTCGGGTGTTGCACATGTCTTATTCATCATTTTGTCGGTATTGTCTACCATTACTGCTACTATATTAGCGTCAAAGTTTCGCCCACACAGTAGATACCTTTTTTAATTAACGACAACTTTTCGTCCATACGGAGAGTTATAATACAAGTTATAATTGGAAGGTATAATACAAATGCTTTAGAAAATCGACAAATTGAAGAATGAGAGACTTTTCTCAAGACTGATGGACTGAACATATTGATTCCAGGCTGGGGGACTGATCACCTCGAACTCATCCTCATCTTCCAACACTCTTCTCTGTATTGGACTGAAGAAACCATTGACTTGCGAAATGTTTCCACGATAAAGGTTCTCAAATAATACACAAATGTCTCATTCAGTCAAGTGCACGAGTACATCAGGTGCACGAGTACAATCAGGTGCGCGAGTACAGTCAGGTGCACGAGTACAGTCAGGTGCACGAGTACAGTCAGGTGCACGAGTACAGACAGGTGCACGAGTACAATCAGGTGCACGAGTACAATCAGGTGCACGAGTACAGTCAGGTGCACGAGTAGTCAGGTGTACGAGTGAAGTCAGGTGCACGAGTAGTCAGGTGCACGAGTACAGTCAGGTGCACGAGTACAGTCAGGTGCACGAGTAGTCAGGTGTACGAGTGCAGTCAGGTGCACGAGTAGTCAGGTGCACGAGTACAGTCAGGTGCACGAGTACAGTCAGGTGCACGAGTACAGTCAGGTGCACGAGTAGTCAGGTGCACGAGTACAGTCAGGTGCACGAGTACAGCCAGGACTGTCATATCCCAGAGATCACTTCATGTCTAAGTCTCAACATGTTCATGGTTGACTACTTATTGAAACAAATGTGTTATCACTCGTTTTTAAAGTCGAGGATTTTATCTGCTACGAATTATGACATGTGGTTCATCTATCGTATTGTCATACCGTTATACATATGTTTCAAAATGAATATATTTTTTATTTCTGGTGCAGTCTCTAAAGGTGTGTATGTGTGTGTTGCAGGACGTACCTGGTGGTGACACCGAGGCTGGTAAGAGCCGGTCAGGTGTACCGTCTGGTGGTCAACATCCTGGAGCCTTCACCCTCGCTCGTCGTCAGAGCCACCATCTTCAGAGACAATATAGAGCTTGCGGCCGTCGAACATGAGTGTGAGAGTGACACTCCTCAAGTTTTGGAGCTCATGGTAAGTGAAATGATTCCGCTTTTTTCCTCGTCATCAGCCATTTCTTTTATCTCCTTTATTTTTCGTATTCGTTTTCTTCCTCTTCGTTCTGTTTTGTTCTTCCTTACTGTTCTTCCTTCTGCCTTTTTTTGCAAATCTTTCCTGCTGGATTTTCTGTTTTTGTAGTTTATGCTTCAGTATCGTTCCTAGAGTCATCCACTGTCTTGTAAAAATGTGAACATATTTCGTGCTTGTAATCAAAAGTCTTCGAACGCACTGAATCCATCCAAGAATGATAACTGTAGTATTCTATATTTATACAAAATTGGGCTTTTGTTACTGAGAGTCTACCTAGGCTTTCCGGCAAGTGTCACTCAGATTCTTGTTTCAGTGACACTACCGAGTACACCTATTTTCGGTATTCCAGGTTTTTCGTTGGCTTTCAATTGAGCCGTTGTTCCACCCCGCTGGTGACAATCACCGGCGTGTGGAACATAATGAACAATGTCTCGTTTTGAAGCCAGCGAAAACGTGGAACACTGAAAAGGTGTTGTATATGTGGTGCCCTCCTGTGTATAGGTAAGACACAGGTGCAATAGTTAGAAATCTTTATTCCGTAACTTATCGGAATAAAGATACCTAACTGTTCCACTTGTCTTATCTCCTTGTCGGTATTTTATACTCTTATAGTATTGATATTCTCGATTATCCCAAATTATGTTCCACGTGTTCTCTTAGCTTGTTAGCGAATGGAAATGATATACTGCCATTGTTCCAATAATAACTAGTTATGCAGTGTATCTGTTTTCAAATATCCCAGTGAACCTGATCTAAGATGAAGTGAAGGTGTGAAATCTTCTGCTCACACCAAAAGATAACTTTATATCGTTCTCAAGGTTTTTCACGGACCTCACTTCGTGGCTCATCAAGGCGTACTGCCCTTTATATTAGGACAAAGCTATGATCTCTTAAGATTTGATAACGATCTTAGCAGATCGAAACGTAGTCTACAGTAGAAGTTCTTTATACAAACGTGTCTTTGTGTGCCGATCTTACTTTGTTATAATAGTACTCTGGGTTTGTTAGCTAGTACTCAGCAGATTTCCTGTTCCACTCGCTTTCCTGTGATTTTACGGCTGAAGTAGTTGAGTTTTATTAACACTTTAGTTTTATCTGCGTCACATGATCAGTAAATGCTCAGGATGGAGAAGGTAACCGGCAGTTATGTACAACAACCACTGAAAAAATGTAGTTAGAAATCAAGAAGGCACTTTGGAAGTTCCCTATTTTTTTTCACAGTGGTTGTTCTGCATAATGAGTAATACCTGCTGACTGTGATCTTATTGCATCGACAGTTATGTGTACAAGACACAAGTATGTCTTTATTTCGACAACGTTTAACTTAAGTCGAGCTGGAATAGTGACTTAATCAACACATTGACTTAATAAAGCAATGCTTTAAGGAAAAATCTTACTAATAGAGTTTTGTCTTGTTTAATTTTGTGACATCCATCAGTACTCCAACTGGTCTTCTTACAATGGTGCTATCAAAGTGTTGCAAGTGATATATAAAAGGTCGTCCAAGTCACTGCACTGCAACACTCCTCGTCAACCAGGCATCACTGTGTCATTCTTGTCAAACATTGCAACACTCTGCTAGTCGACCAGGCAACACTCAGCGTCATTCTCGTCAAAGTAGAGGAAAAAAAATTGCGCCCAATCGCTTTTCCTTGTTTTATTTTTCTTGTGCGGACGTAAAGGATAAAATCAATTTGGAAGACAACGAGAGCCAGACAGTGTATTTGAAACAAACTCCAAAACAACAAAAGAGGTTTTCCAAGGATCATCCGGCAGTGTTCTCTGATATCTTGAGATGTTTTCTTTCCGACCTCTGGTTTGTTGGTCCCTCAGTCTGTCTTCCCTCTCGGAAACTCCCCCTTTGGGGGGAACACAAGACAATATTTCCACGTATCAAACAGCTTTTGCTTGTGATTCGCAGCAGCCAGAGGGACCTTACCGGTGCGGGGGGTAATGGAAGGAACTCAATGTTTGTGTGTCGGATTTTACCTCGGCAAACAATAGGTCCGTGATTCGTGCGAAGACCAGACAAAAATATTTAATATTTCTGCCAGCTTTCAACATTTGACTTAAACACCCAACACATTTCATAAGCAAATACGCTGATACGCTGCGTATATTGTTCCTTACTCTTTCTCTCTCTCTGGGATTATTTCTTGTTTAATGTAAACCGTGATTGTTGTAAGAGAAAGAGAGAGGAGGGAGGGGGAGAGGAAGGAGGAGAAAGGAGGATGAGGAGAAAGCAGAACAAAGTACAGAAGAAAGCGATAGACAAACAAACAAATATTTATACATTTTATGGTTATCCAGCCTTACCTCTGGTGCTGCAAGTTTATATTCTCACTATCACCAGCAGTTTATATTCTCACTATCACCAGCAGTTCATATTCTCACTATCACCAGCAGTTTATATTCTCACTATCACCAGCAGTTTATATTCTCACTATCACCAGCAGTTTATATTTTCATTATCACTAGCAGTTTATATTCTCACTATCACCAGCAGTTTATATTCTCACTATCACCAGCATTTTATATTTTCATTATCACCAGCAGTGTATATTCTCACTATCACCAGCAGTTTATATTCTTACTATCACCAACAGTTTATATTCTCACTGTCACCAGCAGTTTATATTTTCATTTTTCATCAGCAGTTTTTTTATTCCACTATCACAGCAGTTTTATATTCTCACTATCACCAACAGTTTATATTCTCACTATCACCAACAGTTTATATTCTCACTATCACCAGCAGTTTATATTTCACTATCACCAGCCCGTTTTATATTCTCACTATCACCAAGCAGTTTTTTATTCTCACTATTTCCCCCCAGTTTATATTCTCACTATCACCAGCAGTTTATATTCTCACTATCACCAGCAGTTTATATTCTCACTATCACCAGCAGTTTATATTCTCACTATCACCAGCAGTTTATATTTTCATTATCACCAGCAGTTTATATTCTCACTATCACCAGCAGTTTATATTCTCACTATCACCAACAGTTTATATTCTCACTATCACCAGCAGTTTATATTTTCATCGTCACCAGCAGTTTATATTCTCACTATCACCAGCACTATATTCTCACTATCACCAGCAGTTTATATTCTCACTATCACCAGCAGTTTATATTCTCACTATCACCAACAGTTTATATTCTCACTATCACCAACAGTTTATATTCTCACTATCAACCACAGTTTATATTCTCACTATCACCAGCAGTTTATATTCTCACTATCACCAGTTTATGTTCTCACTATCACCAGTTTATATTCTCACTATCACCAGCAGTTTATATTCTCACTATCACCAGCAGTTTATATTCTCACTATCACCAGCAGTTTATATTCTCACTATCACCAGCAGTTTATATTCTCACTAACACCAGCAGTTTATATTCTCACTATCACCAGCAGTTCAATATTCTATCACCAGCAATTTATATTCTATCACCAGCAGTTTATATCCTCACTATCACCAGCGGTTTATATCCTCACTATCACCAGCGGTTTATATCCTCACTATCACCAGCGGTTTATATCCTCAGTATCACCAGCGGTTTATATCCTCATTATCCCCAGCGGTTTATATCCTCACTATCACCAGCGGTTTATATTTTATCACCAGCGGTTGATATTCTCACTATCACCAGCAGTTTATATTCTCACTATTAGCAGCAGTTTATATTCTCACTATCACCAGCAGTTTATATTCTCACTATCACCAGCGGTTTATATCCTCATTATCACCAGCGGTTTATATCCTCACTATCACCAGCGGTTTATATTTTATCACCAGCGGTTGAAAATTCTCACTATCACCAGCATTTTTATATTCTCACTATTACCAGCAGTTTATATTCTCACTATCACCAGCAGTTTATATTCTCACTATCACCAGCGGTTTATATTCTCACTATCACCAGCGATTTATATTCTCAGTATCACCAGCGGTTTATATTCTCACTATCACCAGCAGTTTATATTCTCACTATTACCAGCAGTTTATATTCTCACTATCAACAGCAGTTTATATTCTATCACCAGCAGTTTATATTCTCACTATCACCAGCAGTTTATATTCTCACTATCACCAGCAGTTTATATTCTATCACCAGCAGTTTATATTCTCACTATCACGAGCTGTTTATATTCTCACTATCACCAGCAGTTTATATTCTCACTATCACCAACAGTTTATATCCTCACTATCATCAACAGTTTTTAATAACACCTGCTGGTTATACTATCACTGTCACTAGAATGCTTTTCTAATTCCTGTAAGTTATACTAACACCAAAGGGCTGGAAGGGTAAGCCAGTGGAAGGCCTCGGTCAGATGCCAAAAGCTCCAGCTGCGGGTCATCACATGACTAAGATCCGCGTCAGGAAACACTCGTCCTGTTTCTTGACGAATCTTACCTAAATTAACCTAACTTCACCTAGCCTAATATGAACAGGCTTTACTACCACTAATTATAAGGTTTGACTAACACTAACAGACTTCTCTAACATTAAAAGGCTTCACCAACACTAAAATCTTTAATAACATTAAAAGGCTTCATTCACTAACACTGACAGGCTTTACTAACCCTAACAGGCTTTAACACTATCAAGTATCACTAAGAGCCTTTACTAACACTAACAGCCTTTAATAACACACTCAGAATAACCATAGTGGTATGCAGGAGCTTAAGACTTTTATTAGTTGGTGGTTATCCTCTTCATTATACAATATGCCCAAAAGCACTATTAAAAACTCAATGAAGGAAAAGGATAATGAGTCCAGACTGAGTACTGGCAAACTGTTAGACAGCCAGAAAGAGGCTAGATGTTAGAGAGGGTTCAATAGGTTGACCAGCTAGTATTCTCTGGTACATCTCCACAGTAATAGTTGTTGGCGTTGTACCACGGCTACGTTAAACACTAACA